ATGAAGTGATGAAAATGCAGATCTTACAGCAAATGCTACCAAACTGAAGGAATGTACATTCAAAAGAACTGAAAAGTTCTCATCAATGGTAAAATATTAATTTTGCTTGAAAAGGATTCACCTCCATATTTCCTTAATCAGTTGTACATATATATATAACAGTCTCCCTCACTAAATAAACACTCTAAATCCATCGTTCAACTTAAGATTCCACACTGATACTGGCATGTTCATTGATTCAGAATTAGTGCAATGGCAGAGCATGAATAGACTTTTACAGACACCATGAACTTCAGTCCAATTACCTTATACACAAGCTGTCCTTCTGGCCGGTAGTATTTTCAAGATCCTTCCAGCCAGAGGGACAAGATCACAGAAAACTGAAAATATTACTACAGAGTGATTGTAGTGTAGTGTAAGAAGTAAGACTAAGCAATCAATCAAACCATTCTACAAATAAAACTGAGCATGGGCTTAAGTCCAATTACCTTATACACAAGCTGTCCTTCTGGCCGGTAGTATTTTCAAGACCCTACCGGCCAGAGGGACAAAATCACAAAAAACTGAAAACATTACTGTAGAGTGATTCTAGTGTGGTGTAAGACTAAAGAGCAATGTATTAAGTTATTGTACAAATAAAACTGTGCATGGACTTGAGTCCAATTACCTTATACACAAGTAGCTGTCCCTCTGGCCGGTAGTATTTTCAAGATCCTACCGGCTAGAGGGACAAGATCACAGAAAACTGAAAATATTACTGTAGAGTGATAATCTAGTGTAGTGTAAGACTAAAGAGCAATGTATCAAACTATTCTACAAATAAAACTGTGCATTGACTTGAGTCCAATTACCTTATACACAAGCTGTCCTTCTGCCCGGTAGTATTTTCAAGATCCTACCAGCTAGAGGGACAAGATCACAGAAAACTGAAAAGATTCAACTGTAGANACTTGAGTCCAATTACCTTATACACAAGCTGTCCTTCTGCCCGGTAGTATTTTCAAGATCCTACCAGCTAGAGGGACAAGATCACAGAAAACTGAAAAGATTCAACTGTAGAGTGATTCTGGTCTAGTATAAAACTTAAGAGCAATGTATCAAACTATTGTACAAATAAAACTGTGTATGAACTTAAGTCCAATTACCTTGTACACAAGCTGTTCCTCTGGCCGGTAGTATTTTCAAGATCCTACCGGCCAGAGGGACAAGATCACAGAAAACTGAAATATTACTGTAGAGTGATAATCTAGTGTAGTGTAAGGCTAAAGAGCGATGTATCAAGCTATTCTACAAATAAAAATGTGCATGGACTTAAATCCAATTACCTTATGCACAAGCTGTCGCACTGGTCGGTAGTATTTCCAAGATCCCACCGGCCAGAGGGACAAGGCAAAGGAGGTTTGAATTCGGGGATCCGCCGAATCAATAACAAAATTCGTCCTGAAGGAACGACGTATTAAAAAACGCTTGTGCCTATTATAAGTCAAAGACGTCTACAGTGTAATGTGTTAACCAGCGTACAAATTTACGGTTTACGAACTAGACGGGAAGAGATCTAAAGAAATATACAGCATTTGCCGAACAACTCACTGCTTTACTCGCTACACATTATTCTTAACTTGTCAAGTGAATAAAAACGTACTTGTCTCGTTGATCAACATAGTTTTACCACTGGCAATTCGCATATTTATGTGATTGGTATAGTCCGCCATATTGGAATAGCCGACAATTTCCGAAAACTGCTCGACTCGAAAACTCGCTCCTAGTACTCCTCCGTTGTCCTTCTGAGCGGTAGGATTTAGGCACAACCGAGACTCTGGGGACGAGAATGTTCCTCTCTCCCCTCGCTCAGGATTAGTTTCTGAGCATGAGCAGATATACAGGCCAAAATTACGCATGCGTTACCGGATGTCCGTGATTTACGGACATCCGGTAATGGCTGCTACCAGAGCCCTCCGTTTCTCCGACCACGTGACCAAAAGAAACGGAGACTCTGGGGACGAGAATGGTTTATTAACGGTTTTTGGACATGCGTAGAGAGAGTATCTGTTGAATTGATGCTGGCTCACCTTCTGATTTCTCGGCAGAGATATTTGTTTTTTTTTTTTAATTTCACGTTTCATCAAGCGAATCACGTATATATATGTCCAGCCTATTAAACATTTTTGCAGGTTTCAATTTTATATGCTGCAGCTTTTTTACCCCTCACGTATTTGGGACGCTTTATTTTAGTTTTTAATATGTTAAACTACCTTTTCTTCTCTTTTTTTTCTCAGGATAAACAATTAACGGCTTGTCAAAAATAATAGCGGTTGTAAATTTAATAGAAATTTGTAACTCTACTTGTTTCTCAACGTGTAACATTTTGTTGTCGACCCTGCTATGGGAGGTTGGAAACGGAAATTTCTGATTTCATGACTACCTTGACCTTACCAAAAAATCCTTTTCAGCATGGGAGCGATGGAAGGCCTCAGTTATGATGATACTGTTGAAAGATTAAAGGAACTGTACCTGCCAACACTAAAGGCCTGCTGGATGATCTGGCCTGTAGTTATGGTAAGTGCTATATACGGGCGTAAAAAAGCCAGCAGGGCCGTTAAGGACGTTGTCAGGTGGCTCTCCAGCCCGTGGGGTGCATGGGTCAGTAGCTATAGCACCCCGCGAACTGAGCCTCTCCTATTTAGCTAGAGAGGCTTAATGTCAATAGTGCAAAGTCGAATGGGTCTTCACGTTCCACTGCCCCTTCACTGTCATTGCTCAACGGAGTCTCCCCACCACAACACACTTTCGAGCCTTTGTGGATAAGAGAAGATATAGCCAAATGAGAGAAAATTCATCAATTTTATCGGAGAGCCACAGGGGATGAAAACGTGAGAGTTTTTCGTTCGATTCCAGCCTGACAAGTTTTCTCATGCCTTCCACGTCCAGATATATATATTTTTATTTTTGTTGTATTTTTCATTTCTCGTCATTCAGGTCGTGAATTTTAAATTGATACCAGTAGCTCACCAACTGAACTTCTGCCTGGCTGTCAGTCTTGTATGGGCCACCATTCTGAGTGTTATCCGCACCCCACAAGTCTCAACATCAAGCAAATTGGAAGAAACTGAGCCCGCAGATATTATACCTCTTTCAAACTGTTCATTTGAAGCAGCTCAGCGGTGACTGTGAAATCTAGCTACTTCTGGCTACCTCTATTCAAAGCGCAAACATCATCACTGAACAGTCGCGCCGCGCGACATATTGAGTGTGAAGCTTGGCAACTAGGCTATAAGTATACCATGCGCTCTCACTCCTTTCAGGAATAATGAACGGATGGAGTTACTGATGAGTTGTTCGCTCAGGTAGCATTCACATTAGAAATTTTTTAAATACAGAGCTAAACCGGCTTTGAAGACTCCACGTGCTGATGCTTGGAACAAGAGTAATTTATTAACACAGAACAGAACACAATGTATTTGATATTTGAGTTTCATATATTTGTACAGAACACAACCGTCACTTAGTGGTTTATATAACTATAATTATATCATGAGTCATTTCAACGTACTATTTCTTGTTATTGCTGATTAAATGGACAAAACATTAAATCGAGTGTGATTTGTCAATCCGAATGTCTTACTTTGAATGACCCATAACATTACAGCCATTATCACGGTTTAGCAGTACATGTTGACCCGTGAAACGTAGACAGTATTGTTAGGGCAGCGTGTACTCGGGAATAAAAGTCATAAAACAGGAGATTTGCCTGGTCAAGGGTTTCAACTAAGTCTGTAACTTCACATGCTGATAATGGTCAATACATTTGACTGTACCTTCTGACCGCACCCCTCCGAGGGGTAGGAGAGGTGTTTCTTTGTTGTCGCCGTGTTTCGTGCCATTAATAATGGGAAACTGAACATAACGTGTCCAGATTTTAACTTGTTACCTTTTCCGTCAAAAATGATATCTAAAGGATAAGGGTTTAGCCCTCGGGGTTGAGCCGTCCTGGATCCTATATGAAACTTTATTGGATACATGCCCATCCACCCCTGGAGGGGGCTGCTAATGTATCTAGCTAGGCGTTGGTTTATCCTAAGTACACGTGGTGGTTAAACTTTCTTACACCGAGATCGATTTGATTTTCGCCGCTCTCTCAGATCCGGTTCCCGCGGGTCCTTATTCCCATAACACCGGCTGTTCATGGCTGGTAATCGAGCCTACTTTTTGGTTGACCCGAAAAGCTTCCATCTATTGTTTTCAACTTCCTTTGTGGGAAAATTTCAATAAAGGCCGCCGGGAGAGCCTGGGATTGAGGGATTCTATTACGGAGTCTGCTGTTCAAGCCGCTGACCACAATCAAAGATGGCGGTGTAACAGCACGGATTACAGTGTGAAACAAATCAAAATGAGCCTTCTTCGGCGGCTGTTGGCTTTACCGTCGCCTTTGGCTTTTCAGAGAACTATATCCGCATATAGAGGTAGTAAATGTTTGATTTTATTTAACATTTCTTCGCAGTGGAGCCAGCAGGCGTTGTGTCCGGTTGAAGCTGGCCTGCTTGTTGAGTTGTTCAGGTGATCGAACAGTTTGCTTCACGAAGTCTCCTTTTTTTTTTTGCCTCTAGCCAATTCGGCATCCAGCTCTGTAGTTAGGATTCCAAGAAGATTTTTACAGCTCTACTGCAAGAAACTTAGTGCAGTAGTGGATCTGACAGGTGAGGCAGAGTATTTCTCTAGCTGGGCCGGGTCCGGGGTGTCCAACCGATGGAAATCAGTGATCGGAAAAATAATCCAGCATTCGATAAAATTAGCTAATTGGTATCGATTAATATTGGTCACTCATCATTGAAGACTGACTGATTGTTATCGGTTATTGATTTCATCGACTGGACACCCCGGGTTTTCTACCGCAACCAAATGTTGACAACACACTGTAATAGTATACTATTGGTAGTTAAGCTTGCACTTTCCTTGTTTATGAGATTTGTAAATCACATGTCTAATCCTCTTGGTATAAAACTTGTGGTGCATTTCTTGGGATGATAACAGTCAAAGATACAAGATCACTTGGGTCATGGTGCAGCAAAGGTACCGATGTTAATCAACTCTGGGCAAAGATTCATTAGTTCCTTTGAAACACCACGATGCAATTGATCTTAGATCATTGATCCTGAGACAGATGATTCAATCAATCAATCAATCAATCAAACTTTATTTAAAGAGGGTGACACTTTATAGTTAAAAAAACTCTATAAAGACTGTCAGATACCCTTAGTCTGAGTGCTTAATCATACAGTTGAATCCTGCTATTTCAAACTCTCAGGGGAAGTGAAAAATGATTTGAAATAGTGGGAGTTCGAAATAGCTGATAGTAAATGACTGAAGGGTGAATCAGAGGGAAATGGTTTTAAGTTCGAAATAATGGGGAATTTGAAATAACCGAGTGCGAATTAGCAAGGTCCAATTGTAGTTGCACTATGATAACACACTGTCTGTACAGTGTGCAGAATTAGGTGTTAATTAAATTAATGGGTGAAAACTTCCAGTGAACTACACATTAAAACATTTGGTTTGATGTTTTGAGAGTAACAGTACTGGTAATCTCCAGTACAGTGCAACTCAAAACTATATAAGTTACAGTGTACATGTACCTCTCCTTGTCAAATGTGATCCTGATATCATGAGATTTCTTGTACATCCAGAGATACAACACTCATGTTCTGTGGTTCCAGAAATATCCATACCCACCACAAGGAGGGTTATGAGAAGTTTCAAGGGGGTGGGCTTTCAAAAGCCAAAATTTTAAAGGAAAGTGCAAACCAAAACTGGAATTTTTTGGGGTGTTGCTGGGTTCAAACCAAAAAACACTCCATGGGAGGGGCATGGATGTTTTTTGAAACAACGTATTGTGAGCATAGAGTGAATGAATGAATGGATGAATGAATGAATGAAAGAGTGTTCCAACAGACTTTTTTTTGTTGTAATTTACAAATCTGTAGTGCTACATGTACATTTAATATCCCCAGTTAATTCTCTAATGTGATGAACTTCAATCTGGCCCAATCTCCTACATGGGGGCAAGGAACTGAAGATCACTTTCTATCCTCTTCCAATATTAACTGATCAATACATAAGGTAGAGAGAGAACCAGAGAAGCAGATTTCATCAATAATTGATGAAATCTGTTTCTAATGGATGTTGTTTTGGTGTACCCCCAAATCAGTAGGTTATAGGCAATAGGTCTCTGACAATCTGTGAGAAATGTAAGATAATTCATATTCAAGCTTGTTACTCCACAAGTTGATTGAGGTTGTCATGATCCTAACTGCAGACAAATCAAAGATTTTTTATTTCCACTAGACAGCCACCTCACTTTCTGGTCCCAAAGGTGTTTTCAGATGAGAGATTCAGAGTGTTGTACACAGATACTGGTACATGTGAATAAGAAGAAATAATTTCAACATCATTTTCTCCATTTCTGATACTTTCTTGTTTTTGTTTTCAAAGCTGACTCCTGGTCAAATGGTAGAAAATACGTCAGTGGTTTTGAAGATATCGAGGAACTTCACAAGTATGTGTCTTTAGGCTGCATGAAACACATTTTGTCTAAACATGACGATGCATTGCATGGTTACTAGTTGAAAGCCAGTAATCATAACTTTGTTGAAACATAGAGAGAGTCAGTTACTTTTAGTATAGTTAATGAAAGTTCTTGAAATTCTACAAGTGGATACTTTTGTTTTACTTGCAATGTACAGAAATTGCTGAGTATTAGGAGGCACTAAAACATTTACCAGAAACTAGAGTTACTGAGGACCTAGCCAAGAAAAATGTCAGCTAATAAACAGCTTTGCATGAATGGAGTCTGGACATTTCAGAGTCTTAAAAAATCTGCATTATTTTGATGATGGCAACAAGATGACGACATGTCCGAACTCCATTCGTGCAAACTGTTTACACTGTAAACAGCTAACACTTTTCTCAACTCTTTTATGCTTAAACTACTGTATATCCAAACTGTAGACTGAAATACCTATAGTTGATAATGGTGACAAGATGATAAGGGCTCCATTCTTGCTAAACTGTAGGTTGAAATACTTTGTAAAAATATGTCCCAAACAATAAATTGGAAAAAATTGTTGGAACACTTTGAATTGGGTTAGTGTTGTTATTACATAGACCCCTGTTTTAATAGATATATTAAAATTATTTATTATATTGCCTGTGTTTGTAGCCGATATAATGCGCACTCTGATTGGATCTGACTGGCAACTCTAGGGCATTATTCTCCCGTAATACCCATGGGGTGATTATGGGCCTGCAAAACCAAGGCAAAAAGCAATATAATAAATATAAAATATTGACCTCGAACGTTTGGTCTTAACAGGAAAGTATCGCTCGGTCAGTACTGCAAGGTCTCGGTTTGAGTTTTGCCCGTAAAGACTTCACTCTCGGTCAATAAGTAGATGTTATTACTGTGTCTTTTGTGTTTTCTTTTTGTTGTAACAAGTGCTCCTGAAGAAGTCAAAAGAGTGTTCAGTCTTCAAAATGCAAGCCAGGTAAGATATCATATATTAATTATTAATGATAATATTAATTCAAAGTCTATTATTAATATCGTAGATTTGTGTTGCGCCCACATTGTGTTTGCATGTTGAAAAATATTTCACTCGTTTAATGCACTTGCTCGTGAAATATTCAGTTGTCATCACTCGAAGAGAAATTTCATATCTCTGTACAGCCATGAAATATCCTCTAAATGTGTGTTGTTCAAGCTCGATACCTCTTTCATTTACGTCATTCATGTTGATAAAGTATAGATGGTGTACGTGTAAACTTGGTTACTGACAAAGTATGACCAGTTAACTACGGTCAAAGGTACCATTGGTTATTTGATACATGTGCGTATTTCATGAATTACCTAAGCATAGGAAGACTACATTGCCTTAGTTGATATTTACCAATCCATTGTGATCCTTATTATTTGCAGGTAGAGCACCGAAAAGTTGCACTTGAAAAAGTCAAAGAACAATACAATGACGAGGAAGAACGATACAGTAAGTTCAATGATGACATGTAATTACATTTAGACTACATTACACAAGATCACTCTTGGCTTGATTTTAACGAAAAAATAGTCCATTTTTTTAGTGCAAACTTGCGTACAAAAAACACATTTAATTCTTATTGTCTCAGAAACTTATCTTACACTGTCATTTTCTATGGCTGGTTTGCAATGTCACGCCATCAAAAATAAAAATCGTAACTATTCAATAAATTAAATCAAGAAGCTGAGATATGAAAGATGATTGATATATAAATAACCTCGCCAAATTTTAGGTCTGTACGGTTTTCCATCCGCGCGTTATTCGGAAAAGTGTTTCACTCAAATTTATAGAGCTTTGTGTGGTGTCACCATGTTTGTACCCCTTGGAGGGACACAAACATGGCGGCCGTAAAGTAACAGAAACATCTGTCATTGAGTTTTGCCATTGAAACGAAACGTTATTACTCTAGAGCTCCGATACATTGAAATTAATACTTTGTCTAGAGCAAGGACTGTTTAGTTAGTAAAAACTTGAGCAGTAACTCATCTTTTGACTTACTCGACAACCTTATCGAGCCGCCATTTTAATGTCACGCAACGCATAAACTTGGAAATTCCGACGTGCTTCATTACATAATGAGGAACCCTGTCGGGCTTAAACGTTGCAAAACGTCAAGTTATTAGAGGGTCTTACATCTGATGAAACTAAAGCTTCACAAGGATTGGTAATTTCTTATTTTGGAAATTGATGACGTCACATGAAAACCGGCAATTAGCAGTTCTGAGGAAGTTTTAAAACTTGGGTAACTTTTAATCTCGAACTCAAAAGGTACTATTTTTTACTTACAGAAGTCTTCTTTACCAATTTCATCCCTTTCAGTTGCAGAATTGTGTGTCAAAATCGAAGCAGTGAGGAAGAACAATGAGGATGGAAAGAGGGGAGCCAAGGTAAAAAAAGTCAATTCCTTTGTCGATAAAAGTTTTAAATCACATCTACTAGTTACACACTGTATGAACTTGAAGTTGATAATTAGCTCTTATCAACCGAGCAGGTCTGTATGGGAGAATCTTAGCTAATCTTGACCGAGGTCGTGAGTACAGACTGGCGACATAAGGTCATGTTGAACGGGGATAACTTTAACACTCATTTGTCGGTTTCATCTATCTCAGAACAAACACAGCAAAGTATTTCTTCACTGGCTGATTTGCAAGAGGAGGAAGAGACTGCAGCATCTCAAAGACACTCGCTTTGAGCGTTACCTAGAACTTTTGAAAGAATTGGACCTTGAACCACTAGATCATCCACAGTCAGCGAAGAATAAGTACAAGATGAGGAGAAGGACAACAAGACAGTAATAAAAATAAACTCTGCTTAAAATGCTTGTTGTTGCTTCATGAACTTGAAGTGCGTTTTACGAAACGACAGTGGTGTGGGAGGGGATGGGTGGGATTGACGGGGAGAGGGGATGTGAAGTTGACTTGAGACCCGAGACTGTACTGCTTAATCACGAAGCGGTCACATGCAAAATTGCAACACCTTTGCTGGTTTTTGTTGACTTAACTCTCGTAGTTAGACACAGAATTTGCGAAAGAAGTTGTTAACCAATATAGACACTCTATACCCAGGCGAAGCTATGATATGAGTGTCCGCCCTTCTCTATGGGCAATCTCGTTCTCGGGCTCTCTCTCTTCTGCGTGTCCTTTGCCCTACCACGCGTTATTCCGCGCGCGCTCGATCATGAATTCAAGCTTCGTTACCTTCTGAAAAGCATAGGCTACTCTTAAGGGAACACACAGTGTAACGGACGAGGATACTCGTGGCCCAAATACAAACATCGGGATAGAGGAAAAGCCTAGGGAGCAGAACTGAGATGGCACATAATGCAGGGCAGCTGGGCAAGAGAGCAAAGACGAGAACTTAGCCAAAGCGAGCACGATTAAAGGAATGCAGACCAGACTCGGGAAAGTGGCGCAAGTCGAGCCTACATATAACATTGATTTGATGGCATACAAAAAATAAAGAACATAGCTATGATCTATTAACTTTATTCTGGAATATTTCTTACTACTCAACGTCTATAGATTTCTCTTTACGATTACAGATAGTTTATCTTTCACAACTGTCAAAATGCGCGTCTACAAGCTGCTGTTACGGAAACTTTTTCCCGTGCGATGATACGATTAAGTTGCCAGCGTTTTCCACTTTCGAAGAAAAACCCCCCGCTAGATGGTTTTCTTGTTATCTAAGTCGTCATTGGAGGAAATGGAAGAGAAATTTCCAGGGAAGGGTTTGGTCTCGTTTCCAAAAAGCGTTATAAAACTGAACAACTTGGACAGTCTCCCACTCATTCCAGCGAGAACATTTATCCGGAATGTTCCAGTCCTACGAAAGCATTTGTTCAATTTTATATGCGAATATTTTTTTCTCCATCTTTAGAAAAGTACAGTCTGAAGAACAAATACGAAATCTTTAAAGCCCACAGTCTTAGCCAGCAGTTGCCAGGTAACAAAACGTATTCTGGGAACGACACGCTCACGTGACAACTGTGCGAGTTCGCCCGCAAGTGTGATTGGTCAAGAATCGATAGGTCTTCGGAACTTAAACTGTATATTTACGCTTTACGAGGAACCGTCACAAACTAAAGCGGCCCTTGTCCACTTGTCTTTTTGTTATTCCTATTTGGCAAGAAGTTCTTGGATGTAAGGGTTATTTCTGGCCAGGACCTGTTCCTTTAATTTCGACACTTCACAGGCTGTTTGCTTTTCCGTCATGGTTTCGACTGGCAACTTTGCGACTTGACCGAGAAACTCTTTGATAATTTCTTCACCGTCCTAAAAAAATGGGACACAAAAATACCCATGAACACGATTAACCATAAACTTGTTTCTTTTCTAAACAGAGTGAACTCATTTTGTAATGACGCCAGTTATTGCAGTTGTAAGGAAAACTCAGAATGAAGCAGTTGACATAACAGTTGACATAACGTAGAAGAACGACTAAAAGTATCTTACTTATGTCACAAATTTAAAAGATCTACACTAGGCTAATTAACTAAGTATTCAGTAAGTCCCTTCCTCTTTTAAAAATCTACACTTATTTTCACTCCCTCTACTGTTTTTACGAGGCAAGGCCAGGCAGCTAGAGGTCAGGCACGACTTGTTTTTCCCACTAACGGCCAAAGTCCCCCTTTGCCGTTTGTACTCTGTAGTGAGTAGCTTTGCGTTTGTCGTGAACGTTCTGAGGGATTTAACTCTCTTTGAACGTGCGTTGTTTCCAGAGGCAGTAAAAAAAGGCTGCGTTCAGTTCGAACCTAGTGACTTATCAGGCACCAGGGTACCGGGGTATCTCCATGAAGAGATTGGAGTACTCCTACTCCTGTTAAATAGGATGCTAGCCCATCCTTCGAACCCCCCGCCCCCCCACCCACCTCCCGCCCGGCGTGAACGTAAAGTGTATTGCCCAAAAACACAACACAGTGACCACAACCAGGGCTCGAACCCAGACCGCTCGAACCGTAGTCCAGCGCAACAGCCATTAGGCCGACGCGCTCCAGAGAGGCAGTGCAAGCCTAGCCCTGCCCTTGATTAGTCTCACCTGCTTGGCCAGGCGCCGTCTTTTTGCGGGCGATGTACCAGTCTCTGAATCTAAGAGAAAACAGTCAACGCGAGATTCAATATTTACATTGAAGATAGATAATTTCAGAGTTTTAATTGATCATCATCGTCATCTTTAAGCAATTATCCAGTAGATCAACATGTACTGAAACACATCACGTTACACAGATTCAATGAGAAGTTATCGTGATTGGGATATTTTTCGGAAAGTTTTGGATACCGCTAACAGTGTTCTTAGTCACAGCCTGTACAAAAACAATTGATATAGATACACTATCCAGTAGCTTAAAATGTGCCAAAACAAATCTTGTTATAAGCCAGAAAATTTATTAAATACCCATCCCTCTCCATCAAGAAGTCTTTCTTTAAAAACAATATTACGACGGGGCTCAAGTCGACAACGCTTAGTGACGTATACAATAGCAAGGGTAAACATACCAAACCTCATCATTAACTAACATTCTCATTACATCGTTTTACTCATTTCGGAAATAGAGACTTTCTTAGTCCTTGAGTTAATTGTTTCCCAATTGACTCCATAACTAATCTTGTAAAACGTCAGTACCATCCCAGAGTAGAACGAGCAGGCCTTAAGGCTGGGCCTGCCCTGTTCAGCACGTGCTCCCTGGCGAAATAGAACGTAATCGAACTAGGCTTTACGATATCAAGCCCATGAATTTTCGTTCATTTTTTCCCCGAAGATCATGCTTTCTACTGAGATTGATTGCGTAAACTGAACTTCGAGGGTTCGATTACGTTCCATTTTCCGATGTCAATCAATCAATCCAACTCCGTAGAGTGCGTTCGAGTGAAATTTGGTGCGAATGGTTCCGTTCTTCGACTACTCCAACTGTGTTATCAGAAACAGCCCCACAATAAATTGCCTTCACTAACCTAACACTCCATCACCTAACTGCGCCGTACTGCCTTGAAAGTCTTCTAGTTCCGCTGCTTTTTGCCTGGCAAACTAAAGAAAAAAACTGAAGGGTCAAGATAAACAACGACCGGCTATACAGCAGTTTCCATATAGCAGCTACGACCGCTGCCAAAACAATACAGCGATGGCAGTTATCACATGGAAACCGGTAACACTCTTTTTTCTCTTAAGAATATATTTCATAACAACATCGAGGCTGACATTTGCGAAATTTCAAGAAGATTTTTTAGAGTAAACCCGACTTAGGCTGAGATTTAAAAAAAAATGTCATTTTGTATGCTGAAAATGTTGTTGTGTAATTTACCAAATCACTCTCAGCCTTCAGAACCAATGCAAACATAGATCACAGGACCACTAATATTCAACCAAGGGCTAGTTCTGAATTTGACGATCGCTCCATCGCTATCCATCATGAGGAGACCTACATGTATCCTCTCAATGAAATAAAATTCTTTGCGCGAAGGGAACTGAGGAATAACCATCGTAAACGAGTTGTGGGAGGTCCACGACCTGACACAGTTGAACATGGTTGCTACTCATGTTTCCACACCGCTATCGACTGTTTTTCTTTTTTTTCTTTAATTTACGGGAAAACTGTACTATTACGTAACACCATTAAGGAACTCTCGGCACATCGAGGAAAAAACGCTCAGCAAGCAATTCAGGTATCACAACTGATACTCGTGCCTCAGAAGTTTACGAAGACGAAGAAATGCGAAAAACAAATCGGCGCAAAGAAAGTTATAAACCGAGAATTTAACTGAATACAGCAGAAAATATTCCATAGCTTGTGAGATCACTGCTACTCACTGCCGCTAACTTTTCTACCCTCCTGTTTCCACCCTTTGAATACCTCTTTCAACAATTTTCAGACAACATGTTCAGTATATAATGCAACATTATTACGTAACTCTCCAAATATCACTGAGTAAAAACACGTCGTGAAAGCACTCTTTTTAAGTAAGAATATTGTTTTTCCGGCCCAGGCTGAATTTTTTTTTTAGTTTTAGGCTGAAAATATTCTTATGAGTATTCTTAGATTTATAGGATATGACATTTCCGTTTTTTTTCGATTTTCCGAATTTTTCACATATAATTTGAGACCATGGCGTAATTTCGGTCGTTCTGTATATTGAAAGAATCACATAATATGTTCGTCTGGTCACTGTGCAATTTTTCGAGCAAAAATTGGGACTGCTAATAGAGGTCATTGGGTATGTAAGGTTATTTGAAATTATAGTAGTTTCATTAGATGAGAGAATCGTGAACGTTTTTGTTTTTCATGCAATTTGAGTGCGTTTGCATCTCGATTTTCAACACTCACGCTTTTGGGCATTCCGTATTTTTTTTTTTCAAAGTCCGAAGGTGCCCGCACTCCTATTACGCGGTAATATAACCATCGCGTTTCTCTTTGCAGTTTTGCAACATTTATAACACCATAACACTACCGAGTTTTAGAAATCTTTAAAGCATTCCCCGTTTTCAATGGACTAACTCGACCTTTCGCCTGCCATACTGAAGTTCCAGAAGCGAAAAAAACAAAACAAAACAAAACAAACAAAACAAAACAAAACAAAACAAAAAACAAAAAAAAAAACAAAACCATCCAATCAAAACAAAATTCTTCATTGGCAACTGATCAATAAAGTTGATCTTATTTTCCCTTTACTTAATGAACGATACACACAGCGCCTATTGAGCGAAGAAAAATGACGTAATATATGTATCGACAGTTATTTTCCAGGGAAAGACTTGCAACGTTCACAGTTCGTTGATATTACTTATTATCTTCCCCTTATCGCTTCCTTTCAGTCGGTTAAATAAAATTTCGTAGAAATCCAGTGGCTTGAAAATGTCGATCTCTAATGCGGCCATCTGTTCCGGCGGTAATTTTTTGGCACTTTCATTCATCACTCTGTCGTCCATGTAACGTCTTCTTCTCGGCTCCATCTGATCTCCACTCTGTTTTGTGGTAGCTTGGACCTGTTTTCCATCTTCCCCGACAGAATTTGAAGGGTAGTTTGATCTACCTTTCTCACTGCTGGATTGGTAAAGCCCGTCTTTGTTTCCAGAACTCATGTCCAGTTTCGCTATCTGGTTGTTGTTTTCTGTGAGAGCCCTGTTCATCTTCTTGACGGATTGCCGTAGTCGCTCCATAGTTTGTTGAGAATTCAGTGTAAATATCTTTTCACCAGGCTGTTGACCGGCAATTTATACTCAACAGAAGAGAAGGAAACCTAAGATTATTGGATGATTATTATGATGCTAACTAGGTGCATTTACGTGACAAAAGCAGTGACATTTCGATCAAAACAAGGTGACGACAGAGTGATGGATGAAAGTGATGAATGAAAGTGACGTTACCGTTGCTGTCGTGGTTTTCGTAAACACGTCAGAGGGTAACAGTGCACGACCGCCGTTGTAGGTGAATTATTTCATTTGTTTCGTTGTGCTATGAAGCAAATCACTTAATGTCTGGTCCCTCGGGAAACCAGTTAATTTTGTTTCCCCCGCATCTTGAATCTCTCCGTCTCAGGAACATTGAGATTCTCGAGATTAACAGAATCAGTCATTCAGTTTTACTTGTGTATCGTAACCTCAAGTGGGCAGTACACGCCTTATTGACTTCATCTTACATAACCCCTTGTGTTTGGTCACATGTGAGTTACATGTAATTAACTCTTGTTACATCGTTCCACGTGTGTTTGGTTATTTCAGCATGTTCAGTTAGGCAGGTGACAGGAATTTTTACTCTTCCATCAGAGCACGTTTTTAAGTCCATCGAAAACGAATGCATATGAAAAATTTCCTAAAACTCGGCACGGTTTGTAATGTTATGAATGTTACAAAACAACAACAACAAAAAAACATTTCGTGGGTTTTTGTCTGTTATCTTTTTCAAATTCTGAAAATGATTCGATTTTTTAACTGGCGCGCGGAAGAAGACAACAGAGTGTCTCGGAACTACTGGTCTGTAGTTGACCCTTGGAAGTTTTATATTGTTAAAATTAGCATATTTGCCGTCGAAGCTTCGCTTCGCGGACAAATATCTGTTTCAAGAACATCAAATTTCCGCAGTACAACTATCAGCCGAGAGTTCCTCGACAGAACAGGCTAAGTGTTTACTAAGTCACCGCAGTCGGGTGCCTGATTGTCTCCCACGAAAATCAGAATCAGAAAGCTATTCCAAAGTTATTTAGATCGACTGGCAAAAACATTGCATCCACGAAGTTGTGAGCAAACGGCAGTAAATCCCCAAGAACGCGCAGGTAAAATCTTAAACATGTCGTACCAGTGATCTCCAGTCACTGACCTGATATGACTACGATATCATGGCAACTTGGCCGAATTTGGGTACAGTAAATATGTAATCGTATTTATTTATTTTATTCGCTTCGGCGGTATCAGGCGCATTTGGTCTCGACTTGGGTATTTTGGCTGGACTACGTCGAGCGTACCAAACATGTTGGTGAGCAGAGAATGAAGTATTGATAGGACTTTAAAAATAACGGTATGCTTACATCAATGACACTTGTTGGAAAGTGCGCCAGTTCTGCAACGTGAATACCAAAGCTCTGATCACAAACGCCTGGAAGAACATAAAAAAAAGCATTGACAATTAAATTGTTCAGGAATTCAGTTATTTTGACCTCTTGTTACAAAACTCAAATGTGTTTGGTTACACGCACGTCACGCGCAATGAACGCTTTATCGACCTCGTGTTTCATAATCCCCTAGTGAGTGGTTGCACATGCGATACGCGGAATCCACGCTTATTGACCTCGTGTTACATAACCACCTACTGTGTGATTTCACGTGCCTTATGCTCGATAAACACCTTACTGACGCCGTGTTGCATAACCCCATGGTGTGGTTACACGTGCGTTATGCTCAATACACACCTTATTGACCCAGTGTTACATAACCCCCTAGTGTTTGGTTACACGTGAGTTATGCTTAATACACACCTGGAGGGGATGGGTGGGATTGACGGGGAGAGGGGATGTGAAGTTGACTTGAGACCCGAGACTGTACTGCTTAATCACGAAGCGGTCACATGCAAAATTGCAACACCTTTGCTGGTTTTTGTTGACTTAACTCTCGTAGTTAGACACAGAATTTGCGAAAGAAGTTGTTAACCAATATAGACACTCTATACCCAGGCGAAGCTATGATATGAGTGTCCGCCCTTCTCTATGGGCAATCTCGTTCTCGGGCTCTCTCTCTTCTGCGTGTCCTTTGCCCTACCACGCGTTATTCCGCGCGCGCTCGATCATGAATTCAAGCTTCGTTACCTTCTGAAAAGCATAGGCTACTCTTAAGGGAACACACAGTGTAACGGACGAGGATACTCGTGGCCCAAATACAAACATCGGGATAGAGGAAAAGCCTAGGGAGCAGAACTGAGATGGCACATAATGCAGGGCAGCTGGGCAAGAGAGCAAAGACGAGAACTTAGCCAAAGCGAGCACGATTAAAGGAATGCAGACCAGACTCGGGAAAGTGGCGCAAGTCGAGCCTACATATAACATTGATTTGATGGCATACAAAAAATAAAGAACATAGCTATGATCTATTAACTTTATTCTGGAATATTTCTTACTACTCAACGTCTATAGATTTCTCTTTACGATTACAGATAGTTTATCTTTCACAACTGTCAAAATGCGCGTCTACAAGCTGCTGTTACGGAAACTTTTTCCCGTGCGATGATACGATTAAGTTGCCAGCGTTTTCCACTTTCGAAGAAAAACCCCCCGCTAGATGGTTTTCTTGTTATCTAAGTCGTCATTGGAGGAAATGGAAGAGAAATTTCCAGGGAAGGGTTTGGTCTCGTTTCCAAAAAGCGTTATAAAACTGAACAACTTGGACAGTCTCCCACTCATTCCAGCGAGAACATTTATCCGGAATGTTCCAGTCCTACGAAAGCATTTGTTCAATTTTATATGCGAATATTTTTTTCTCCATCTTTAGAAAAGTACAGTCTGAAGAACAAATACGAAATCTTTAAAGCCCACAGTCTTAGCCAGCAGTTGCCAGGTAACAAAACGTATTCTGGGAACGACACGCTCACGTGACAACTGTGCGAGTTCGCCCGCAAGTGTGATTGGTCAAGAATCGATAGGTCTTCGGAACTTAAACTGTATATTTACGCTTTACGAGGAACCGTCACAAACTAAAGCGGCCCTTGTCCACTTGTCTTTTTGTTATTCCTATTTGGCAAGAAGTTCTTGGATGTAAGGGTTATTTCTGGCCAGGACCTGTTCCTTTAATTTCGACACTTCACAGGCTGTTTGCTTTTCCGTCATGGTTTCGACTGGCAACTTTGCGACTTGACCGAGAAACTCTTTGATAATTTCTTCACCGTCCTAAAAAAATGGGACACAAAAATACCCATGAACACGATTAACCATAAACTTGTTTCTTTTCTAAACAGAGTGAACTCATTTTGTAATGACGCCAGTTATTGCAGTTGTAAGGAAAACTCAGAATGAAGCAGTTGACATAACAGTTGACATAACGTAGAAGAACGACTAAAAGTATCTTACTTATGTCACAAATTTAAAAGATCTACACTAGGCTAATTAACTAAGTATTCAGTAAGTCCCTTCCTCTTTTAAAAATCTACACTTATTTTCACTCCCTCTACTGTTTTTACGAGGCAAGGCCAGGCAGCTAGAGGTCAGGCACGACTTGTTTTTCCCACTAACGGCCAAAGTCCCCCTTTGCCGTTTGTACTCTGTAGTGAGTAGCTTTGCGTTTGTCGTGAACGTTCTGAGGGATTTAACTCTCTTTGAACGTGCGTTGTTTCCAGAGGCAGTAAAAAAAGGCTGCGTTCAGTTCGAACCTAGTGACTTATCAGGCACCAGGGTACCGGGGTATCTCCATGAAGAGATTGGAGTACTCCTACTCCTGTTAAATAGGATGCTAGCCCATCCTTCGAACCCCCCGCCCCCCCACCCACCTCCCGCCCGGCGTGAACGTAAAGTGTATTGCCCAAAAACACAACACAGTGACCACAACCAGGGCTCGAACCCAGACCGCTCGAACCGTAGTCCAGCGCAACAGCCATTAGGCCGACGCGCTCCAGAGAGGCAGTGCAAGCCTAGCCCTGCCCTTGATTAGTCTCACCTGCTTGGCCAGGCGCCGTCTTTTTGCGGGCGATGTACCAGTCTCTGAATCTAAGAGAAAACAGTCAACGCGAGATTCAATATTTACATTGAAGATAGATAATTTCAGAGTTTTAATTGATCATCATCGTCATCTTTAAGCAATTATCCAGTAGATCAACATGTACTGAAACACATCACGTTACACAGATTCAATGAGAAGTTATCGTGATTGGGATATTTTTCGGAAAGTTTTGGATACCGCTAACAGTGTTCTTAGTCACAGCCTGTACAAAAACAATTGATATAGATACACTATCCAGTAGCTTAAAATGTGCCAAAACAAATCTTGTTATAAGCCAGAAAATTTATTAAATACCCATCCCTCTCCATCAAGAAGTCTTTCTTTAAAAACAATATTACGACGGGGCTCAAGTCGACAACGCTTAGTGACGTATACAATAGCAAGGGTAAACATACCAAACCTCATCATTAACTAACATTCTCATTACATCGTTTTACTCATTTCGGAAATAGAGACTTTCTTAGTCCTTGAGTTAATTGTTTCCCAATTGACTCCATAACTAATCTTGTAAAACGTCAGTACCATCCCAGAGTAGAACGAGCAGGCCTTAAGGCTGGGCCTGCCCTGTTCAGCACGTGCTCCCTGGCGAAATAGAACGTAATCGAACTAGGCTTTACGATATCAAGCCCATGAATTTTCGTTCATTTTTTCCCCGAAGATCATGCTTTCTACTGAGATTGATTGCGTAAACTGAACTTCGAGGGTTCGATTACGTTCCATTTTCCGATGTCAATCAATCAATCCAACTCCGTAGAGTGCGTTCGAGTGAAATTTGGTGCGAATGGTTCCGTTCTTCGACTACTCCAACTGTGTTATCAGAAACAGCCCCACAATAAATTGCCTTCACTAACCTAACACTCCATCACCTAACTGCGCCGTACTGCCTTGAAAGTCTTCTAGTTCCGCTGCTTTTTGCCTGGCAAACTAAAGAAAAAAACTGAAGGGTCAAGATAAACAACGACCGGCTATACAGCAGTTTCCATATAGCAGCTACGACCGCTGCCAAAACAATACAGCGATGGCAGTTATCACATGGAAACCGGTAACACTCTTTTTTCTCTTAAGAATATATTTCATAACAACATCGAGGCTGACATTTGCGAAATTTCAAGAAGATTTTTTAGAGTAAACCCGACTTAGGCTGAGATTTAAAAAAAAATGTCATTTTGTATGCTGAAAATGTTGTTGTGTAATTTACCAAATCACTCTCAGCCTTCAGAACCAATGCAAACATAGATCACAGGACCACTAATATTCAACCAAGGGCTAGTTCTGAATTTGACGATCGCTCCATCGCTATCCATCATGAGGAGACCTACATGTATCCTCTCAATGAAATAAAATTCTTTGCGCGAAGGGAACTGAGGAATAACCATCGTAAACGAGTTGTGGGAGGTCCACGACCTGACACAGTTGAACATGGTTGCTACTCATGTTTCCACACCGCTATCGACTGTTTTTCTTTTTTTTCTTTAATTTACGGGAAAACTGTACTATTACGTAACACCATTAAGGAACTCTCGGCACATCGAGGAAAAAACGCTCAGCAAGCAATTCAGGTATCACAACTGATACTCGTGCCTCAGAAGTTTACGAAGACGAAGAAATGCGAAAAACAAATCGGCGCAAAGAAAGTTATAAACCGAGAATTTAACTGAATACAGCAGAAAATATTCCATAGCTTGTGAGATCACTGCTACTCACTGCCGCTAACTTTTCTACCCTCCTGTTTCCACCCTTTGAATACCTCTTTCAACAATTTTCAGACAACATGTTCAGTATATAATGCAACATTATTACGTAACTCTCCAAATATCACTGAGTAAAAACACGTCGTGAAAGCACTCTTTTTAAGTAAGAATATTGTTTTTCCGGCCCAGGCTGAATTTTTTTTTTAGTTTTAGGCTGAAAATATTCTTATGAGTATTCTTAGATTTATAGGATATGACATTTCCGTTTTTTTTCGATTTTCCGAATTTTTCACATATAATTTGAGACCATGGCGTAATTTCGGTCGTTCTGTATATTGAAAGAATCACATAATATGTTCGTCTGGTCACTGTGCAATTTTTCGAGCAAAAATTGGGACTGCTAATAGAGGTCATTGGGTATGTAAGGTTATTTGAAATTATAGTAGTTTCATTAGATGAGAGAATCGTGAACGTTTTTGTTTTTCATGCAATTTGAGTGCGTTTGCATCTCGATTTTCAACACTCACGCTTTTGGGCATTCCGTATTTTTTTTTTTCAAAGTCCGAAGGTGCCCGCACTCCTATTACGCGGTAATATAACCATCGCGTTTCTCTTTGCAGTTTTGCAACATTTATAACACCATAACACTACCGAGTTTTAGAAATCTTTAAAGCATTCCCCGTTTTCAATGGACTAACTCGACCTTTCGCCTGCCATACTGAAGTTCCAGAAGCGAAAAAAACAAAACAAAACAAAACAAAAAAAACAAAACAAAACAAAACAAAAAACAAAAAAAAAACAAAACCATCCAATCAAAACAAAATTCTTCATTGGCAACTGATCAATAAAGTTGATCTTATTTTCCCTTTACTTAATGAACGATACACACAGCGCCTATTGAGCGAAGAAAAATGACGTAATATATGTATCGACAGTTATTTTCCAGGGAAAGACTTGCAACGTTCACAGTTCGTTGATATTACTTATTATCTTCCCCTTATCGCTTCCTTTCAGTCGGTTAAATAAAATTTCGTAGAAATCCAGTGGCTTGAAAATGTCGATCTCTAATGCGGCCATCTGTTCCGGCGGTAATTTTTTGGCACTTTCATTCATCACTCTGTCGTCCATGTAACGTCTTCTTCTCGGCTCCATCTGATCTCCACTCTGTTTTGTGGTAGCTTGGACCTGTTTTCCATCTTCCCCGACAGAATTTGAAGGGTAGTTTGATCTACCTTTCTCACTGCTGGATTGGTAAAGCCCGTCTTTGTTTCCAGAACTCATGTCCAGTTTCGCTATCTGGTTGTTGTTTTCTGTGAGAGCCCTGTTCATCTTCTTGACGGATTGCCGTAGTCGCTCCATAGTTTGTTGAGAATTCAGTGTAAATATCTTTTCACCAGGCTGTTGACCGGCAATTTATACTCAACAGAAGAGAAGGAAACCTAAGATTATTGGATGATTATTATGATGCTAACTAGGTGCATTTACGTGACAAAAGCAGTGACATTTCGATCAAAACAAGGTGACGACAGAGTGATGGATGAAAGTGATGAATGAAAGTGACGTTACCGTTGCTGTCGTGGTTTTCGTAAACACGTCAGAGGGTAACAGTGCACGACCGCCGTTGTAGGTGAATTATTTCATTTGTTTCGTTGTGCTATGAAGCAAATCACTTAATGTCTGGTCCCTCGGGAAACCAGTTAATTTTGTTTCCCCCGCATCTTGAATCTCTCCGTCTCAGGAACATTGAGATTCTCGAGATTAACAGAATCAGTCATTCAGTTTTACTTGTGTATCGTAACCTCAAGTGGGCAGTACACGCCTTATTGACTTCATCTTACATAACCCCTTGTGTTTGGTCACATGTGAGTTACATGTAATTAACTCTTGTTACATCGTTCCACGTGTGTTTGGTTATTTCAGCATGTTCAGTTAGGCAGGTGACAGGAATTTTTACTCTTCCATCAGAGCACGTTTTTAAGTCCATCGAAAACGAATGCATATGAAAAATTTCCTAAAACTCGGCACGGTTTGTAATGTTATGAATGTTACAAAACAACAACAACAAAAAAACATTTCGTGGGTTTTTGTCTGTTATCTTTTTCAAATTCTGAAAATGATTCGATTTTTTAACTGGCGCGCGGAAGAAGACAACAGAGTGTCTCGGAACTACTGGTCTGTAGTTGACCCTTGGAAGTTTTATATTGTTAAAATTAGCATATTTGCCGTCGAAGCTTCGCTTCGCGGACAAATATCTGTTTCAAGAACATCAAATTTCCGCAGTACAACTATCAGCCGAGAGTTCCTCGACAGAACAGGCTAAGTGTTTACTAAGTCACCGCAGTCGGGTGCCTGATTGTCTCCCACGAAAATCAGAATCAGAAAGCTATTCCAAAGTTATTTAGATCGACTGGCAAAAACATTGCATCCACGAAGTTGTGAGCAAACGGCAGTAAATCCCCAAGAACGCGCAGGTAAAATCTTAAACATGTCGTACCAGTGATCTCCAGTCACTGACCTGATATGACTACGATATCATGGCAACTTGGCCGAATTTGGGTACAGTAAATATGTAATCGTATTTATTTATTTTATTCGCTTCGGCGGTATCAGGCGCATTTGGTCTCGACTTGGGTATTTTGGCTGGACTACGTCGAGCGTACCAAACATGTTGGTGAGCAGAGAATGAAGTATTGATAGGACTTTAAAAATAACGGTATGCTTACATCAATGACACTTGTTGGAAAGTGCGCCAGTTCTGCAACGTGAATACCAAAGCTCTGATCACAAACGCCTGGAAGAACATAAAAAAAAGCATTGACAATTAAATTGTTCAGGAATTCAGTTATTTTGACCTCTTGTTACAAAACTCAAATGTGTTTGGTTACACGCACGTCACGCGCAATGAACGCTTTATCGACCTCGTGTTTCATAATCCCCTAGTGAGTGGTTGCACATGCGATACGCGGAATCCACGCTTATTGACCTCGTGTTACATAACCACCTACTGTGTGATTTCACGTGCCTTATGCTCGATAAACACCTTACTGACGCCGTGTTGCATAACCCCATGGTGTGGTTACACGTGCGTTATGCTCAATACACACCTTATTGACCCAGTGTTACATAACCCCCTAGTGTTTGGTTACACGTGAGTTATGCTTAATACACACCCTATTGACCCCGTGTTACATAACCCCCTAGTGTGTGGTTACACGTGAGTTATGCTTAATACACACCCTATTGACCCCGTGTTACATAACCCCCTAGTGTGTGGTTACACGTGAGTTATGCTTAATACACACCTTACTGACCCCTTGTTACATAACCCCCTAGTGTTTGGTTACACGTGAGTTATGCTTAATACACACCTTATTGACCCCGTGTTACATAACCCCCTTGTGTGTGGTTACACGTGAGTTATGCTTAATACACACCTTATTGACCCCATGTTACATAACCCCCTTGTGTTTGGTTACACGTGAGTTATGCTTAATACACACCTTATTGACCCCGTGTTACATAACCCCCTAGTGTGTGGTTACACGTGAGTTATGCTTAATACACACCTTACTGACCCCTTGTTACATAACCCCCTAGTGTTTGGTTACACGTGAGTTATGCTTAATACACACCTTATTGACCCCGTGTTACATAACCCCCTTGTGTGTGGTTACACGTGAGTTATGCTTAATACACACCTTATTGACCCCTTGTTACATAACCCCCAAGTGTTTGGTTACACTTGAGTTATGCTCAATACACCTTATTGACCCCATGTTACATAACCCTCTTGTGTGTGGTTACACGTGCCTTATGTTAATACACACCTTATTGACCCCGTGTCACATAACCCCTTGTGTGCGGTTACACGTGAGTTATGCTCAATACACACCTTATTGACCCCGTGTCATATAACCCCCTAGTGTGTGGTTATACGTGCCTTATGCTCGATACACATCTTATTGACCCCGTGTTACATAACCCCCTTGTGTGTGGTTACACGTGAGTTATGCTTAATACACACCTTATTGACCCCGTGTCACATAACCCCCTAGTGTGTGGTTACACGTGAGTTATGCTCAATACACACCTTATTGACCCCGTGTTACAAAATCCCGTAGTGTGTGGTTACACGTGAGTTATGCTCAATACACACCTTATTGACCCCGTGTTACATAACTCCCTATTGTGTGGTAACACGTCAGTTATGCTCAATGCACACCTTATTGACCCAGTGTTACATAACCTCCTCGTGTTTGGTTACGCGCCTTTCTGGCCTCGTGTGACGTAGCCCCCTTGTGTCTGGTTGCACGTGAGGTATGCTCAAAACACACCTGAAAGACTTCGTGTTACATAACACCCTAGTGTTTGGTTACAACTGAGTCACGCCCAATAAACGCTTTATAGACCTCGTGTTACATAACCTCCTTGTGTTTGGTTACACTTGAGTTATGCGCAATACACGCCTAACTAGCCACCTGTTACATAACTTCCTTGTTTGGTTACCCGTTAGTTATTCGCAGAAAATGCCTTATTGACCTCGTTTTAGATGACCACCTCAGTGGTTTGGTTACACTTAAGTTATTCACGATTGACGCCTGCGTGGTGTTTCGCGCACGAGAGCATCCGTCCTTTTGGACGCGAGTGGCAAAGCCGCGTGAGGATTGGTGATGAGTCGAGTTGAATAGGTCATTTCCGAGTAACATTGTGCCTCTGTTTCAAAAGGGATCTTCGTGCAAAACCTTTCCTATGAAAATGAGTTTTATTTGCATCAAAATGAACCTGTAGGCCGAATACATTTACATATGCATGGCTTTGATTTCTTTTATTGATTTTTAACACGGTAATAAAATTATTCATTCACTCACTCACTCACTCACTCACTCACTCACTCACTCACTCGCTCGCTCGCTCGCTCGTTCGTTCGTTCGTTCGTTTCGCATGGGGACTCGTTTTGATACAGAGGCAAAAGGCAACTGGACAATGGCCTATTCTTTCACTTGTGGTGCGAGCTTCGACCGCGAGAAAAGAAAATGGCGACTCCACCCCAAAAAAAAAACACTCGCTCACTTTTCCCGCCAGCTATGCAGGCTATGTTAACGCCTTATTGACGTCACTTTTCATAACCCTGTAGAGAAATCTTCTCCAGATCAGAACTTTGGACGTATAAGTCTAGACTTATTTTATTTGCACAATAAACAGCTCACCAGGTTTAACTTTGTACAGAAGCGTCAGCGTTCCACTGGAGGTCATTGCAGTAACATGAAGGTTTCTCACCGTAGTAACTTCATCCGCAAGGGCTGTGAGCTCGTGGAAATGAGTCGCAAACAAACAGAAACACTTGATCTTGGTGGCTATATATCTGAGGTTGTAACAAGTCCATAGTTAAACAAATGACATACGTGCTAGCTAGAGTAGAGAGAGAGAGAGAGGAGGGGGGGAGGTGGAAAGAGAGAAAAAGAGAACAAGTTTTCCATCTCCTCTCATCTAAAGGCTAGTTCAAGTTTGAGTACTTTCAAAGCACCCGTCTAATGTATTAGAGCCCCTCGTGTCAGTAAGAGTGCGGTCAACTGGGTTGGCTTGGTTCTAGAGATCTCGCTTCACAAATGGATGTGTTCAAAGGGGAAGATGGCTACCCCGGATACCTAGAATTTGCGACCGATAATGGGGATGAAAATTTAACAAGGACGCGAGTTTTAGCTGCAGCAGTAAAGCAAAAAGAGTCGACGAAGCTGCGGCAGATGTGAACAATAAAACTTTTTAAAGTTTTAAAAGTGGTGCTTTTTTTTCTCCCTTGATCTCAGCTGAGATTCCCTCACTAGAGTCCGGGGGCGAGCGCGGGCTCCTTTCTCGAACAGCGGCATGTAATCGAGCCTAACTGCTGGGAGTCTTTTTCTCTCGAAATTTGGGAGGGATTATGAGGTGAGACGAATTAGACCAAAAGGGATTGGGACAACTTCACGCCCTTAGAGAAAATGTCGGCTGCCAGCAGTCTATTCTCATACCGGCATAGGCAATCAGAACCAACAAATCTTACTGTGAAATTGCCCAGGCAAGTCCAAAGCCGTCATACGTTGATGTTCCTCTTCCTAATTCGTCAATAATGATAAGTGAATTCTCTGTGGCAGACTATGGGAGAAAAAGAAAAGAAAAAAGAAGGTTTTCAGACAAGACGAGACAACAAACGTTTGACGAAATTTGCCGAATACAAGTTTGACAAAATTCTTCAATGATTCTTCAAGTTTGAAAATGTGACCTTAGTTGAACAGACTTTTACGTTTGTACACGGATTTCAATATCTTTCGGACGCAAGTCACGTGTCTTTTCCTGCATTTCTCGTATTGCGCTTCTGATTCGTTCATTGCACTGTTAGCGATCTTCGGTTTGTTTGGTTTCTTTTTCAATTCAACAGCAAAATTCGCACAAACTGTAACAAAGAAATCATTACCCTCAAATCATTACCCTCAATATTGAAGCAGTTTCCAACATTTCAGACATAAATGTTGATACGCCTTTTAACTGGCTGTCTCCAGACCCCACTCGAGCTAAAATGCAGTCTGTGATGGAGATCTCGGCCGAGCTACATGGCACGAAGCATCCAAGTTGTGCCATCAGTACAATCACCCCAGTCTGACAACCAAAAATAGAAAGGCAAACGACAATGAAACGGAAACATAACAACCAATGGCTTAACTCGTGAATAAGGTTTACACATATAAGCACAGAAAGGTACCTCACATAATACTGAAGTCTTGGTATAAACTGAGACTGAAGCGATGGCACCACCTAAATTTTACACCGTTCCCAACTTCCGATACAAAATGTAACGAAGTCTAACTTTTAACTGCATTGTGGCTAAATCAGTTGAGGGTTAATTCGGAGACTCCTTAACTTTGACTAAGTGCACAGAATTTGAGAAAATTATAGTTATTTCAAATCGGTGGACAATTTTCACTGGAGTGTCGAAAATGATTGGCTAAAAAACACTCGCGCCACTTTGTCATCTAATCAGAAGTAAAACCGAAACCAATCGCGACTTGCTCGCACACGTTTCCCGCGTTCGCGCTTCCTGCATGTATTTGCTTCCAGGTTTGATTGGTTCACTAGATAGTCCCTGTCCTTTGTGATTGGCCAAAGTGGTTACTTTGGTTCTGGTGTTACGACACTCATTTAAGCCGTGATGTAACCAAATGTGGCAAACTATTGGTTTGAATTCGGTTTAAAACACAGCTTTTGTCGAGTAAACTCTATTAGACGCAGAGCCCAGCAACCAAATATATACAATCACATGTACTTTAAAATCTCATCAAATCAATAAGTGTTGACATTAGTAGTTAACAGTAATTACAAAAGCATTATTTTGTGACACTGTTATAGGACCTTGAGAAAAAAAAATCACCAATTTATAACTGTAGAGCAGGCACATGCTGGTTACTCGATGTTTACGCCTGTGTAGTTCGATTAACGACTCATAAGAATGGCTATGGAAGGCGCTTATGCTCTATACCAGAACATCTTGCTTTAGGTTCTGTTCTATGCCATGTCACAATAAGTTTTAAAAGGCTGCCCTAAAGCAAAAGAAAGAAGATCCAAAAAAGAACAAAAGTGTCAAGGTCTTGATAGTGACACCTAACAGACCTGCCTGATGTAAGTGGACTTCCCTCCCATGTTTGGACCAGTGATGATCAAGAATTCCTTGTCACCTACCAGTGTAAACAAACACCAAAAAAACTACATGTAAACCAAAACAAAACAAAAGCAAACAAACAAACAAACAAACAAAAAGTTGGAAAGTGTTGTTTAAAAACTAAGCCACATAATGATATTGAAAACAAAAGAAAAAAGATCGTTAGAGGAAAAAAACATTGGTTAACTTGCTCTTTTTCATACCTCTTTCCATTGCAATATCATTTGCAATGAACGCCACGTCATCTTGAACTTCAAGGCAGGGATGTCTCGCCATCTCAAGCTTCATGTGTCCTTCCCCTGTAGAGGGTTATATAACAAAGACATATGTTGCAAAAAGATCAAGATACCACTAATGGAATATGGATAAAACGAGGGGTTTAGAGGGATAGTGCGGTAATCTGGAAGTTCCGGTCAAAAGCCCTTCAACCTGCCACAAACTGAATTTGTTTACAGTAGTCCCACGTTCAACTCCTTGGCCATGCTTTGTAAATAACCAATAACCAGCGTGTTCATTGGCATCACGTTCGACAGACCAAGAAAAACAAAGCAGGCTGAAAGAAATCCACTACCAATCAAGAATGAAACGCGTTTTATGGAAATGTTTCGATTGATTCAAGCCGGAAAATGAACGAATACATCACAGCAGTGAAGACTGTCACAAGCATCTCTATCAAACTTACCTTTAGGGGTGATTTTAGGACGAACGTATGGAATGGGTGCATTAGCAGAGACATGTGCAAAGCTGAAAAAAATAAAATACGCAAGTTAGAAGTCAACTTTATAAAATGACAAATCTTTGACACGGACAACACAGAAAAGACGAAAACACTCACAAGCACCATATACTTGAGAGCTGGAAATAAAGTTTGTAGAGCATAATTACAATAATACAAAAATTAACCTTCAGTCATCATGTTTGATCAATTTGAACTTTGATGCTCAAACTCATCTAATAATTGCTTATTATTAATATCGTAAAACTCACCTTATCAAGGCGTCAAGCTGTGCAAAGATGTCACTTAACAGTTGCATCGGTTCACTGTAACCTCCTATTAGAACAAACATTCAAATTTGCCATAATGTAGGAAAAAAGGTTGGGGTAACCTGGCAATTTAGAATGTTCCATAGTTTACTCCTCTTAGATAGGATGCTAGTTATATTCCAGCACAACTGGTTGTCCTAACAGCATTTTGAAAGGTTGCTGCAACATAATAAAACCCTTAAAACTGCACTCGACACTTTTGAAAATACACATGCAGCTCCAAAGTAGTCTCCTCTGCAGCCGTTTTTTGGGATGTCACGCAACGCTCCCCCAAAGAAAGCAGCCGTTTCATTGGGGGGAGTGTTGCGTGACATCCCAAAAAACGGCTGCAGAAGAGACTAGCTCCAGAGTTGACAACAACGTTAAATGCGTTCTGTCACTTTCCTTCCCTTTTCAAAAAAGGCACAAGTATGATATTTGTGACATTACAATCATGTGTGATCCTTTAAAGATAAATATAATTTCTTCAGACATATTTGACAAGCTTGCAAGTTGGCAAGAGTAAATTATCTTGCCAAAGAATACTTTCTGGACGTACCAGCCACTTTGATGACTTCATTAGCAAGTTTACTTTGCACATCATTGTAGGTTTCTTTAAATGCTTGGAACTGCTCATTGAGTTGCCGTAAGGTGGAATTGTTGAATCTGATGCCATCCTTCCTTGTGTCTATTGTGGTGTAGCGCTTGCTGTTTCGCAATGCTTTTTCCTCCTGTAAAACACAAAGCCAGAGCAAATAAATTGAAAAACCCAGCTATTTTAACTGTAAGAGCAAACATCCAATGTTCTAGGATCAGGCCTTTGTATAAGTTTTAGTATATACCAAGCCCTCTTCCAAACTAGACAAATTCTCAAAGCTGTTCTATAATGGTCTCCAATGGGTACCAGGATGATAAAACAACATAACGAAGAAGGGCATAGGATAATCCTGCTTGTGTGTTGGAGCAGTGAAAGAAATGTGGGGTGGCAAAACAGGTTCTGAAGAATCTACCAGGAGGAGCTGAAGGAGACCAAACCCTGGAAGCCGTACATCAGTGCTTTTTGAACTGCAAGAGATGCCTTACATATAGCAAAAAGGGCAGTCCAACACTGTAAGCTAAGGGAGTTAACAGAAGAAGATGGTGCATGTAGGTGCATTCTGAGCTTGAAAAGAAGACACTCGCACACAGGGCACGACAAGAAGGGGCTACGATAAACTGAAGAAAGACAAAGACAAAATGGTGCAGGCCAGTCATTTCTAAGATATAAGACATGCCCAATGATGCATCTAATGCTGCATGGATGCTGCAAAGAAGACAGATGTGAGTGGAGCCAGTGGATTGCTGAGGTAGGAGGAGGTTAGAGGTAGACGTATCATCATTGAAATTTATAAACTCACTTTTTTTGTTATCCTAAAGAAATAACCAAACTGGTTATTAGACTCCAATTTTATTGACTTTCCTGCTTCAAGACCTAGGTCTCTGGCAGCCTGTATACAAAAGAACAATTAAAACAGCAAAATGTGAATAAAGCTAAATAAAACAATAATTATGCCATGCTTTACTCAATGAATGCAAGAAAACATTCTTATGATACTGCTTATACTAGCCTTATTCAGTTCCACTGGTATCTGCTCTAAAATCTCGTCCATCTTTTCTCTGCATTCTACAGAAGAGTCAGACAAGTTCACAGTTACTCTTTCTCGAACCAAAAAAACTGGTGAAATTTTGGTTATTCTTTAAGATATGGAACTTCATTTACAGACCAATTACATGGACGCACTTGCAAATCCACTTCAATAACTTCAAGATTTTGATATTTCACAACACCATTCACAAGGTGTGTAAGAATGGAGTCAGAGACAAAATGTGGTTGATTTGGTTTTAAAGATAACTGTTAATTCACCAGCAATATCACAGGGGAAATCGCACTTGCCAGCAATAATGTTTTTTCTGTTGAACCCACCAAGTTCCTTGAAAATTTCACCTCAAATGCCCCAATTTACGTTTCATAATTTGCGGGTTTTGAAAATTTGTCGACACTCTGAAAGTCACCTTTGCATTGCATTAAGACTTGGCACTCAACCAGTGAGCACATGAGAATTCTCTCTGTTATTGCAAAAACAGCTTGTAAACAATCTGGACATTCATTGCATGTATCAGTAGGGGATGATAATGCTGTTCTATCAATCACATAAAAGAAGATCCTATTTCCAATGACAGTTACAACCAGGTTGTGGAATACACTTTCCTTATAAGAGCCAGAATTAAAACCATACCTTGCAGTCCTTCGTCAAAGGAAGCCTTGATCAAATATTCGTGATTTTCTACTTGATCCAGGTCTACTGTGGTCTCCACCAATTCAGTAAACTTTTGAAAATCCTGTACAAGATCCTGTAAAATAGTGAAATTAATCCTTTCAGCACCAAAGTATTACAAATCATAATGCTGAAAACTGATTTCAGCTATAGATGTATTTTACTGTCTGGTTATATTTGCATAAAAGTTGGCCAATTGCACAGCTTAGGAAATATCAACACTAATCACCTGTAAGGGTGTTGTGAAGCATTCGTTTATAAGTTCATTGTGGTTTCCTTGATAGCTTGTGAGAATGTCTGTGAAAGAGGGAAGTCTATGGAGGGCCTGGTACACCCTTACACAGTCCTGTTCAAAAAAAATTTACAAGAATTAAGGTACTGTTTTTGCCTTTTTGAGCATTTTATAGCACTTTTGTAGTTTATTTTTAGCAACATAAAGACTACTTTTCTCATGACATTAAACCCCACTATTAGACAAGCAATGCCACCCCAACACACACAGCAAAATGTTACAGTTACATGTTGTAATATTGTAAATGACCTGCAAACTTGCTTTCTGCCTCTGGAATTTTTTGGCCAATCTAGAAAAATCAGGGACTTTACGTAGTTCTTCCTGTAGAAAAATTACATAGCAGCAAAATCATTTATTTAGTAATTTTATCAAGTGACCTCTGTATTAAGATTCTGTGTAGACTACCAGATGTTAAATGAGGCAAATAATGATTCTTTATGATTGTCATCAGTATTACTGCTATGTTTTATTACATCTGTTACAATGAATGATTTGCATGTACCCATTACTGGTTACAAAGTAACTAACAGCATGCTTTACAAGTAATAAACTGAGCCCACAGACAACTGATGCTACTAATATTAATAGATGAATGTCACCAGTCTTGTAGTTTAGAAGTTGCATTGGGTGTGTTGGCCGTTTACACTGTCTAGAAGTTTGTTAGATGGAGCTTGGGACATGCCGTTGACAAACAACTTGAAAATTCACGCATAGTTTATGTTTTAGATGAGTCGTAAGAAGCCGGCATCTCCTTGACTTTTTAAATTATACGATATAATTATTGAACTTTTGGTAGTCTTTGGAAAACCTGATTTAACTAGCAGTTTCATTACAGTAGTGCCACATGGTTTTTGAATTCATATATTAAAATAACCCTCTAAAACAGCATACCTGGATTGTTTGTCTCAATTCTGTGTCGTCAAAGAACACTTCAACTATATCAAGTCTTTCCTCTGTAAACAAAACAAGTTTAGACAAAATATCTACAAGGCTAAAACATTGTTTAAAANCTGATGCTACTAATATTAATAGATGAATGTCACCAGTCTTGTAGTTTAGAAGTTGCATTGGGTGTGTTGGCCATTTACACTGTCTAGAAGTTTGTTAGATGGAGCTTGGGACATGCCGCTGACGAACAACTTGAAAATTCACACATAGTTTACGTTCTAGATGGGTCGTAATAAGCTGGCATTTCCTTGACTTTTTAAATTATATGATATAATTATTGAACTTTTGGTAGTCTTTCAAAACCTGATTTAACTACAGTTGAACCTCGATTAACTGGACACGTTGGGACTAGACGAAATAGTCCGGATAATCCAGGGTCTGGATAATCGAAAATATGAATATTAATGAAGAACACAACTGTTTAAATAAAGCAACATTTAATCGTGAAACCACTTTTACAAATTGTTTGGAAAACAATATCATATACTGTAATCTTGAACCACTCAACGCTGAGCCAATCAGAACTTATTC